GTGTGTGTGTGTGTGTGTGTGTGTGTGTGTGTGTGTGTGTGTGTGTGAACTCAGGTCTAGTGACTCTCTTTGGTCTAAAACTAATAAATATATTTGGTCACAAGCAGTTTGACTTTCAATGTGATAAACAGTATTATTTTAGGGATAGTTTAACCAAAAATAAAAATTCTATTAATTAATCACCTTTTTTGTTCCAAATTTGTAAGACTTTTTTTCTGCAGAGCACAAAGAAGATATTTTAGGTAAAAGTTGATAACCACACAGTTTTGTATATGATTTCCATTGTATAGTTAAAAAAAAACATTCTCATAAAATTTTCTCACAGACAAAGAAGAAAATCATACAGGTTTGGAACGAACTAAGTAAACAATGATGGAATTTTAATTTTTGAGTGAACTATCCCTATAATAATGCTGTTAGCCATGCAGCATAGATAGCCATGCGTTTGTTTTCCAATAAGCGTTAATTAGCTTAAAACAAAAGGCTCTATATTGAATAACTTCTTGATTTTGATTTATTCCTGAGAACAGCTATTATTATGCATGTGATTGTAATTCCCATGTTGTTGTACCAGCAAAGGCGCTTTTTGCAGGTGCAGGGCATTGTGGGTAAGGGTGCTTTTGTCTTGTGGAGTTAAATAATACTCTTCTAAATCTGACGTCACTTTGATTTTTCAAGGTTGTTTGAGCTTTTGTTAAACCTTGAAGCTGCTACAGCCAAATTGATACGGTTTATTATTTTCTCAAGTTCATTGTGCTGCATTACAACATTATCTCCAGTTGTTGTTATAGTATAGTAAGCTTTTGAATTAAAGTTTTACATGTATGTGACGTTTTTACAGAAATAGCTATTTTGAATTCAATTCAGATGTTTTTGCTGCATCCCCATTCACTTTAATGAGAGCATCCACTTGAAGTTTGTGAAAAATGTGTCCTATGTTATATTCCAACATGATTTGAGAATTTTTCTGGAATTTCTAGTGACCTAGAAATAGTGCACATTTTACGCCATAATGTTTCTTTGTACGAATTTTTCAGAATCCTAAAGATTTTTCTTTATTACTGTTTAAGTTTGATTTTCAATCCCATGTTTCGTTGTTTAGGAATCTGTCTTTTTTTTTGTTAAATAAAGCAGAGTCAGCTAAGTTTTATTTATTTGTCCTGACATTAGACAAAGTCATTATCCATTTACACAAACTGAGGCGGAATGTTCTTGAAATCCCACTCTGATTTCCTCATGATTTCATCAGACCTCTCAAACAGTGTATTGATGGGCTCACTGCAGGCTGCTGAGACACAGACTCTCTGCTCAAACACAGACCGAGAGAAAACCAGAGAAAGGGGAAAAGACTTCAAAGGGAATTTAATGCTTTTTATCGAAGCCTCTGCCTCGGCTGTTTGCAGAACTCTCCCATTCTCTTTCTCTCTGCATCATAAATATGCATCTGCCATAGTGAGTCAAGAGAGAGAAACTGTCCTTTCATATCACACATACCACACTTTTTTCCTTCCTTCCTCTTTATTCTATGCTTTTCATTGCATATTCTTTGTATATTAAGATCTTTATTTGTCTGTCTCTGACTTTGTATTTCTTGATCTACCAATAATCTAGCCATCCCATTAGAACAATATGACATAATCATAATAATAGTTGACTTAAGGGGTTAACACTGTCACTTAAAATCATTGTCCTTACAAACCCGGGGGGGGGCTTCTTTAAATTAATGTATAAAACAATAAATACAATGCTTAGATATCATTCATCTCCACGGTACCCCCAAAGAGGGAGGTGTTTTCCCACAACCATGGAAAAAAGATCAGAGAACAATATCATCTACTTTTGGCCTCAGCTTTATTGGCTAGTGGAAAGAAGGTCAAAGAAACGAACCTCATTGATTGGCTGCTGAGAAGTATATGTACCGGTACTTTCCGATTGGAGCAGAGGTACGAGAGGGTCTTTTATAGCTGATGGCGGCTTGGTCTGCTGGTGAGGGGGATTAAACCCTGTGATTGGGCACGCTACCAGAGACATGCAGCTGTTTCACAGAGAGGGAGAGAGACAGTGAAGAGAGGGGGAGGTCTCTCAATCCCTCCCAATGTTGAGGAGTAGAGTTGTGTGTAAGGTACTCTGGGTGTAAAGATACTTGAGGGGAAGCGTTTTCATCTGTGTGTCGCGGCCAATGCACATTTCAACTTTATGCTGCTTCAAATTGAGCTTAGACTTATTTTTCAGATTATTTGAATGATTTTCATCGGAGGTTATTTCTGCAGCAGCTCTGAAACTTCAGCTGGAAGTACCTGTCAGGCCTTGACATAGCTGGCGTTTGTGATGAGAACATTCATTTAATGGATTTCTGAAACAATTGAGCTGGTACAAATCTGTGTATCTCTTAAAATTTGTATTGAATGAATGAACAGCCATTTCTCTAAGGAACCGTTAACATGAGCGATGGTTCAGGAGTGATCGTGTAACTGCCTTTTGTGTTGCTGGTTGATCAGACTTTGCAAGGGTTTAGGGATTGGTCAGAATGGATGTGATGACTGCATGTTGGAGAGGGCAGGTAAGTGTAAAACAGAAATCAACCTGTCTGATTTCGTACCTCAGTAATGGATGACACTACTAGCAGACTGTTGGTGGAATACTATGTGAGTGTGTGTCTTTGTTAACATGTCATTGTGTCATTCACAGGAGGAACAGGCTGCCAAAGCTAAGGCTGAGAAAATCCGTGTGGCGCTAGAGAAAATTAAAGAAGCCCAGGTTAAAAAGGTGAGTAAAAGCCCCTGTGAATCTCTGATCTGAAGGGTCAGTAAACCTCTTCTTTCACTGCATGATGTAGCCCTTCACACGCTCTAGCTGGAGAATTCAGAATGAATGCACAGTAGAAAATAGGTCACTCATGTGTCTGTGAGTCTCTGTCTGCTTAGAAGGGAAGATGCACAAACAAAATGTCGGTGAGGCTTTTGCTTCAAATTACTTGTTAAAAAAATTTCGTTGTGTTATTGCTGTTTAAACTGGTCTAAGGTTTGTGTTAATTCTTGAGAGACGATCTATACTATTACACTATTCATCTGAAAAGCACTGTCACTGTCAATAGATGCCACCAGGCACATACTAATACCAAGTGCATGAATTAGACCCAGTACAGTGATTGGACCTCTGTAGCTGAGACAGATGACTGTTTCCATTCATTGTGTGTTTCGAGAAAACTGACAGCATTGAGCAGCAATGGTGCAGTGAGACTGATACGGAATGATACTGTGTCAAGTGCACTTTAAATAATAATTTAAAAAAAACAGAATTTAATAATATACAGTGGACCCAAAGTCTGAGACCCCTTTGAAAATGAAAAGCTGGAAATGAGAGATTTCAGAATTTAAAAAAAAAAAGTTGAAAATATATATTAAAAAAAAAAACCCTAATAAAGGTCACATTGAAAAAAAGCTAATGTATGACATTGACCATTTTAACTCAATAAAAGGTCAGAATTTCTTCCATTTATAAAACTCGAGGATCTTCAGAACATTCTCATATCATGCTGGATAACAATGTTCGGCAGGTTTTGCACTTGTGGAGTCTATGACAGCTCAACTTTTCATTCAAATAGCTGATGATATAATTTGTATATTGAAAAGAAAAAAGAAAAAAAATAACTTTTTGCAAGTGGTCTCAGATCTTTGTACCCCTGAGTGTGTATCCTTGTGGAGAAAAAAATATATGTAGTGAATGTTAAAAGATTTTGCAGACTGAAGCAAAGTTTGAAAAAATATGTCACACTCAGTTTAGTCAGTGATTTGGCTTGAAATGAGTGATTGTTCTGTCAAAATAAGCCTTTCCTGCATTTATCAGTGTGTCCGTTTTGTTACGTTTCTGAGTTTGTACTCAATTGTTTTATTCAATTGAAATATTATTGCACAATGTGATAGATTGATTGTGCTGAGGTCAAAGAATGAGGCAGGCAAGATATGTCATAAAGTGCATGTTTGTAGGAGCATATGTGTGAGAGGGAAGAGAGCATAAATTAGCAGCGTGTTTTCTGCTGAGGCCAGGCTTGGAAAAGTGCCACATGCTCCCTAATATTCTGATGGCTTTCAGGACCTCTGGCAGGGCTTTCTGTTAATGTGCCTATGCAACACTTTCTCTATCCCTTCTCTTCATTCCTCACTCTCAAGAAGAAAGAACATGGGGTGTGAAATAGAGAGGGATGAAAGCCAGTTGTCATTCCTGTTCCCAATTAGTCTTTATTAAAGCCACATTTCTGAAGATCCACATCATATTCCAATTCAGTCAATATAAATCTTTGAGCCAAACATTCCGATTTGAACAACATATTTGTAACACACTGTACTAATTATTATTGTTTTCCTTCTATATAATATCCCAACAAGAGCACAAGTTTTAGATGCATGCCATCCATGTTTTTCTTGAATTCGTTACAGCCATTTGTTTGATTCTGTTTAAAACTTTTAAATTTGTCAAAACTGATTAAAAGACAGCACCAAAGCAAACAATGATGTTAATATGTATTTCATTTTATGGGACTTATGTAGTCACCAAAAAACAACAAATCAAAACAAATCTGAACTCCATTATATCCAGAGTTGAAAATAAACTTTTTCACTCACTCAGTTTGGCTACTAAATTTTTAAGTTACTGGCCAGAACTTCAGTCACACTTTATTTTAAGTTCCAATTCTCGCTATTTACAAACCATTAACTACGACTTTTGCCTCAATAAAGTCCTAATTTGCTGCTTATTAATAGTTAGTAAGGTAGTTGTTAAGTTTAGGTATTGGGTAGGATTAGGGATGTAGAATTTGGTCATGCAGAATATGTGCTTTATAAGTACTAATAAACAGCCAACATGTTAATAATAAGCATGCTAATAAGCAGTTGGTCCCTATACTAAAGTGTTACCAGAAGTTCTATTAGCCATGACAAAAATATAAGAAACAAACACGTTTTTATGAGTCACTGCTTAGATTTCAGCATATTTATTTCAATTCTGAAGAAACGAAAGAGTAGTGCTATAAACTGAACTGTTTGTTAGAAAATTCTCAGTGATTGCTCTTAAAAAGCAACATTTATTTTGTTGTAAATTCCAAATTTAGCTCATTTCAAAATAAATGTTTGATGATAAACATGTTGAAGATTAGCACATAGGCAATTCATAAATTGATCAGTTGTTTTCCAAAGTAATTTCATGATGATAACATTCCCATGCTCTTCACGTCAATATATTGACGGCTTGTGTTTCTCATTGCAAACAGCTGATTTTCTGGCAATTTTACAGTAAAGATGATAAAGGGTGCTTTTGGTGACTGTATAGTGGTGCACAAAAGTCTTGGAAATGTAGAATTTATCATATGCCTAGGCAGTGAGAACAGACTGAAAAAGTCTCTTCACTGTTGTGCTGCTTTGCTAATGTTAAAGGCTCCTCTTAGAGATAGAACGGAGTTGAATTTAAATAAAAAGTGATAGAACATACTATATAAATCATAACCTGGCATCTACTGCCACAGTTGATTTTTACTGCATTTGGCAGGTTGCCATGTGTAACTGTACTCGATTATTGTAGTTTATTCAAAGTAGCCAACCTTTGGTTAGATTACAGATAGCTTGGGAATAAACTCTGGGTATTTTGTCAACCAGCTTGACCAAACCAACCATCATGAGATGCATCCTGGGATGATTTTCAAACAGTATTGGTGACCATGTTTACAGGCCACTTGTTAGCTACTTTTCTTTCTCTATCCCATTCAATTTATCCATTTCAAGGACAGTTATTAAACAGTAATTTTTTGTTTATTTTAGTAAAAACAAATTAATATGTAGGTATAATGTACTGTATATTTATCTACAGAATGTGACTTTCCATGAAAATGTATGTGTAAATATAGCTGTATTCGATATTAAATGTACTGGAATGAACCAAACTTTCCTTTCCTATTAATCTTCTTCATCAGCTGGTGATACGTGTTCATATGTCAGATGAGAGCTCAAAGACCATGATGGTTGATGAGAGGCAGACGGTCAGGCAGGTGCTGGACAGTCTGCTGGATAAATCTCACTGCGGTTACAGTCCGGACTGGGCCCTGGTTGAGACCATCCCTGAGCTACAGATGGGTGAGGACACATGCACATGCTTAGATAGCCTGTGAACCTGAGGGACAATAAGATTATGATTTTGTACCTTATCATTCTCACTCACTCTTTCAATCATTTTCCTCAGAGAGAATTTTTGAAGACCATGAGAACCTGGTGGAGAACTTGCTCAACTGGACCAGAGACAGTCAAAACAAACTCATGTTCATTGAACGGATTGAAAAGTATGCACTTTTCAAAAATCCACAGGTGAAGCTCTTTTTTTGTGACATATACAGAAAAAAATTCTGATTAAACAGATTCAAAATAAACAGTTTTAAACATAGATACAAACATTATTAAGTCACTACTTAATTAGAAGTAGCCAAATTAGAAACATTTTGACACTTTTAAAACCCCAATGTACACTACTGGTCAAAAGTTTGGGATCAGTATGTTTTGTTTTGTTTTTGGTAAAAAATCATTTTATTCATAGGGTGGCCATATGTGCCATTTATACGGGACACGTCCTGGCCAGGATTTTTATATTGCCTAAAACATCCAAAGTAGTTTGACCAATAACATGCAGGTGTTGTACATAATCGACCAATCGTGGCATCACGCGTGAGAAGGTGAGAACGATCAAAGCGATGCAAATATGCGCATGTGTTTGTTCGTTCATTCGTTCGACTTGAATCTGTGCACCGATCATTGTATGACACCAAAGTACCGCGAGAGCGATTTGAAAGCATAAGGAGCCGTCTGCTCTGCTCTCTATAGCTCTCGTGAAATAATGTCATACATCGATCGATATGCACAGTGCAAACAGCCAAAACCTGGATATTTAGGCAATATAGAAATCCTGGCAAGGGTGCGTCCCGTAAAAATGACCCGTATGGTCACCCTATTTATTCAGGAAGTTTCAAAAAGTTGCAGCATTTGATCTAAAGTGACAGTAAAGATGTCTATAATTTTACAAAAAAATAACAATAATAAAATGTTTCAAATGTTGTTCTTTTGAACTTTCTATTCTTCAAAAAATCCTTAAAAATAAAATGTGGTGTTTTTTCCCCCCAAAATATGCATGCATCACAACACTTTTCAACTTCAATAATAAGACATTTTTGCTTAAGCAGAAAAATAGCATATTAGAATGATTTCTGAAGGATCATGTGACACTGAAGACTAAAGTTGTGGCTGCTGAAAATTCAGCTTTTCATTTTCAATAATGTATTGCAGTAATATTTCGCATAATTACTGTTTTTACTGTATATTTGATCAAATAAATGCAACCTTAGTGAGCATTCTTTCAAAAATATTTAGAAATTTTACTGAACCTAAACTTTTGGACACTAGTGCATATGTACACACTCTGATCTAAATATAGGTTTCAAGTAACAGTAATGAGCTATGATTCTTTTTATGTTTTATGTTGTCACCCTGATTCACTTGTTGCATGTTGTGTATGTTTTTAAGAACTATTTACTTGGGAGGAAGGAGACCTCTGAGATGGCAGACAGAAACAAGGAGGCATTGCTGGAGGTAAATTACACGTTATAATACAAATTATAGATTGATATCATATTGCAATGGTTCATTTTTAATTAAACCAACTATCCCACTCAGAAAATCTCAAACACCTTTTATACAGGCCTAGACTAACTAGCCTAACCTCTTATTGCCTGCTGTGCATAAACTGATTTTTATTTTTTTGCTTTCCTTGTTTAACATGCAAATTCCAAATACATACACACAATTAGTTAATGTGGCCTTCATCAGTGTTAATTTTAAAGTGTTGATTGTGATGTCCGACAGAGTTTACAGCTGTCTATATCTGTCAAGATAAAATTTCAGAATGCTTGACCATATAATGATGTATTTTATATCTGTATGTTTTGAAGGAATGTTTTTGTGGAAGCTCAGTGTCTGTTCCTGAAATTGAGGGAGTGTTGTGGTTGAAGGAGGATGGCAAAAAGTCTTGGAAGAAGCGCTACTTTCTGCTGAGAGCATCTGGCATCTATTTTGTGCCGAAGGGCAAAGCCAAGGTCAGTGATATTGTTTGTTTATTTTTGTTTTATCATGTGATTTGGTGTTATGTTCCCATTAAATGGGCACAGAACTTAATAAACTCGAGTGGAATTTCCTGTTTATGGATTCACTGAGGATACTCTACACAAACCATATGCTGTTTGTCATCTACTTACAATAAATTATGGGGCTTTAATTCCCAGAGACAACCCCATGCCTTATTTTCTTATACAATATTCATGTTCTTATACAATTTCAAGTCAGTCACAAGCATACATATGAACAATTGTTTTGTGTTAGTATTAAATTCTCTGACATTTAAGGACATGGGCTTGTCTGTCTGTAATATGCTTTTGCACAGACTCACTGATATCCTCTTGTGGTTGATCCTGGGTATTTGCTTCTGCTTGGTACCATGAGTATATAGTATTATTTTTCTAAATGTTTGCCTTTATCATCTCAAATTCAATCACTGTAAGCTATAGAGAAAAAAACAATCCAAATTTGACAGACAGTAATAAATAGGAATACAATATTAATATGTTTAATTTGATCACTGTAGGCTTCAAGGGATTTGGTGTGCTTCCTGCAGTTGGACCATGTTAATGTTTATTATGGTCAGGACTACCGGAGCAAGTACAAGGCCCCCACTGACTACTGCCTGGCCCTCAAGGTGTGTGTGATGTTATGGCTTTTTGTACTTTAGTCAGTGTAAATGATGTGCGCTGTTGACTGTTACCTTTTATAAAAATGGTTTATATACTACCTTTCAAATATTTGGGGCCTTTTTTGGAAAACAGTTAATACTTTTATTAAAAAAAGAATGCATTCAATTGATCAATTGTGACAGTAAAGACATCTGTAATATTACAAATTATTTTTTTGACAAATGATGTTTCAAAAAAATTATCTTTTAAATCTTTTAAACTTTCTATTCATCAAAGAATCCAGAAAAAATGCAACTGCTGTAGAAATGTTAAGGGGAAAAAAACAGCTTTTACCATCGATAACAATAAGACGTTTCTTATGTGAAGACTGGAGTAATGGCATCTGAAAAATTCAGCTTTGCTTCACAGGAATAAATTACATTTTAAAATATATTCACATACATTTACATTTAGTCATTTAGCAGACGCTTTTATCCTAAGCGACTTACAAATGAGGACAAAGGAAGCAATCAAAATCAACAAAAGAGCAATGATACGCAAGTGCTATAACAAGTCTCAGTTAGCTTAACGCAGTACACATAGCAAGGTTTTTTAAATTATATAATAAATAAAAAGAAAACAGATAGATTAGAAAAAGAATAGATCAAGCTAGTGTTAGTTTTTTTTTTTACGAAAACAAGCAGTAAATGAATAGAGTGCAAGTCTAAAAGGGACAAGTTTTTTTAAGAATAGAATTAGAATAGAGAGTGCTAGAGTTAGAGGGTCAAATAAAGATGGAAGAGATGTGTTTTTAGCCGATTCTTGAAGATGGCTAAGGACTCAGCTGCTCGGATTGAGTAGGCCAGGTAATTCCACCAGGAGGGAACATTTAATTTAAAAGTCAGTGAAAATGATTTTGTGCCTCTTTGGGATGGCACAATAAAGCGCCGTTCACTTGCAGAACGCAAGCTTCTAGAGGCACATAAGTCTGAAGTAATGAATTT